CATTTGAGTCCTGTCTTCCTGACCACAGCTGGTTGAAGAAAGTCTGAGCATCTAACAGTGGCACCTTAAAGTTTGTGGTGGAAAGTAGGCAGTCGTACACTTTCTGATTAAAAGCCTGCTTTCAAGGGGTGGAATAGAAAACTCTAATGATGCTTGACTTTCTTCTTTTGTCCCCTAGGATAGCTCTGAATTTCATTAGCCAGTCTTGTCTGTTAGTTCATCATGAGATTTACATTTCTGAATTATCTGATTTGGAAAAAGTGTAGTGGCTCTTCAGGGCACTGATGAATAACGTTTTAATTTTTTAAAATTTGGATTAACTCAATATTATCCTGGATTTAGAATCCTTGAGCACTGCAGAATTCTCCAAGACTGCATAAGAAAGCTGATGATTGCTTACCAGAAGGTTCTGTGTGTTTTCATGATAGAAAATGGCATTCCATAAGAGGTTAGATTCTTACATAACCCTAGAATATATCATATGCCAGCCAGTTATTTAAACAGGCATTTTTAAAACAGGTATTTCAACATAAAGGAGCAGTTGTGTCTCAGGAATTGTCTGGCCTGCCTCACATTTACTCTCTGGTATGAAGACCTCAAATACCTCTTAGTGTCTGCTGTGACTCTCACATGGACAGTGGCATGCATGGTAGCATGTCTCCATTTTTCCACAATCATACTTGGTTCACTATTTAGACATGTTTCTCCTTCCATATGTGGAAAATCATCTCAGATGCTTTTATGAATATGAGCAAAAGGCAATAGAAATACCTCCTGGACGTGTTGGATGACTGTTCCCATCATCACAGCTAAGCCCATATAGGATGAGCTAAGTGGAGCCTTCCTGCATTTCCACCTGTCTGCTAGTGATCTTCTCTTCTAAGGAGGGCAATTATTTCCTAACCTAGTGCTTTGATTGAAAGCAAATCTATTTTGTCACTTTACATAGATGCTTTTACACCAAGCTTTTATTTAATGAAATCACAAATTGCTGCTAATAGTATTTTATACTAAATATATAGTTCCAAGTTGTAAATTCTGAATAAAATGTAATCCAGTGTCAGTGTGGCTTCTACACTGCTGATTGCCATTTTAGTGGTATTGCAAAAATCACTGAGGTGAATGCTGACCTCACTTGCTCCCTGATGACTTAAAATGATCCCTGGAGACATTGTGATGAACTTGCACTCACAGTTAAAAAAAAAAAAAAAAAAAGTATAGCTGCAATGGAAGCACAGCTGGGCACTGGGTCCACATCACAATAGCAATGGCATTCCATAAGACATTAGATTCTGACAGAACCCTAGAATATATCATTCCCGAGTGAATAATTTAAAGAGGTATTTTCTAAATAGGTATTTTAACATGTATTCATACTTTAAAAAATATAAAGGGGAAAAATGTTTAACCATTCCTCTGACATTGTTAGCAAAATTTATTTTTTATTAAATATGTTTTAGTTGAAAATGGACACAATGCCTTTATTTTTTTAATTTATTTTTATGTGGTGCTGAGGATCAGACCCATTGCTTCACATGTGCTTTGCAAGAGCTTTACCACTGAGCCATGATGGCAGCCCCAGTTAGTAAAATTTCTTATTCCTTCCTGTTTACTGGTATCTTGAAAACCTGAGAGAGCTTTTCTTCTTATATTTTAAAATAAAAAATCACTATTAAAATCATTATCTTGTAAATAATAATCACATTATTCCTGCTGTTGCTGTCTGAAGATCTGTTCTCCCAAATCCATCTCTCCAAGATTTGTTCAAAAGTTAATGCAACCACCTACTATGCATGGCCTGATGGGAAGTGCGAGTGTGTGAGTGTGTGTGTGTGTGTGTGTGTGTGCAGGTCCTCTGACTACTGCCTAAAAATGAGAGCTTAGAGAAGCTAAGAGGACCAAAATATCTGAATTTGTTAAAAAGGTAGAGTATCCTGCTCCTACATTAAACTTTATTTTATTGCAGAGGTAAAACAACCACACTGGCTCTGCTACAGGAACTGGGGCAGTGGATGAATTAAAGTTGTTCAACAATTGTTTTGCTCACTGTTTCCACCAAGTTGAATAACCAGGTAAAATACATGAATAATTAAAAAACCCAGAATAAAACGGACAGAGCACTGGCTTTCAACAACAAGCTTCAGCACCAAATGAACACAGGAACTACTACCCATGCAACAAGAAGGTAACTAGCACCGTAGGGGGTTTGATGGGCACTGCACACCTTCATAATAGTAAATCGTGACACTAAATTAAAGGGTGATTTTGAGAAAATGTTTGTGGTAAAACTGTGATAATAGTAGCAAAACCAAGAAACAAAGCAGAAACAAAAAGCGGGCACAAAGATGATCAGGTAGGAGTATTCCTATCCAAGGCACATGCCTGGAGTTTTAGAACTGGAGAAAGCAAAGATTTGGGGGAATGTGCACTAAAGATACATCTTCCTTCAGAACTTTGGATGAAGTCTTCACCAGTTCCTTATAGAAGAATCTGGGAACACTTACAGTTCTGTACCTAATACTGGCAAATTAAGGGGGTATTTTGAGGCAGTACATTTTGACCTTAATTACATTTTTCTTTCAGGCTATGATCTACTGAAGACGTTATGTTTATTACTCCAGAAGTGAATACAGTCCATACAAAGAAGCTGTTGATTTACTGAATGGAAGTCAAAACGGTCAATATTTTTGAAAGAAAAAAGAATTTTATTTACAAAAGCTTAGTGCTGTGCAATAAGTTTTATTGGTTTTACTCCTACTGTGTTCATTAGTTTCATTTAAATTTTGACTTGGAAGGAGGTTCAGGGTAGTATTTATAATTTTGTGAGAACTGGACATGAAGCAGGGAAGCAGAGCTTGGAGCACAGTGTAGAAATGGTTCATAATGATGCTGAGACTAGATTTTACATCATCCCAGTAGATAGAGTAGAACTTGGGAAAGAAAGAAGAGAGAAAGGAATTCATGTGTCTTTTCTCCCGAATTGCTTCTACTAACCAAGTTTCAGGGATGCTTATAACTGCAAGAATTTCCCCTTGTTTAGGGTAGGTAGACCCCATGAGCATTGCTTGCCCCTCAGGTACTGAGGAGTTTCTTTCCCTCCATTGCTGTGAAGTGTGAGGAGCCAGGCTGATGTGGGGACTGTGATAAGCAGATTCCTGAGTATAACTATGACTTAAGATATCAGCTTAAAATACTCCCTCCTGCCCCACTCCCCAGTGACTAAACATGGCTAAAATTAATTCAAAGAAGCCCATTTAGCCTGCAAAGAAGAAGAGAAGTCTTCACTGAGATGTTAGAACCACTGTGGTCCTACCATATGGAGCACAAGGTGGAGGCCAACTTCTAAGTAAGGAGCTACCTGTATGTCCTGGAGAAACCCAGCACCATCCTCAGGAGGTGAAATGCAGACCAGGGAAACACGCACACAGGCACAGAAACTCAGAAAGACTTTCAGTGGAAGAGTAGGAAGAGAATCCTTAGTTTAAAAGGGTTGCCTATAAAAGTCAAAAATAAACATTATGTCATTAGTGGAACTGAGAGCCTGTGATTCAGTATAGATTTAGTTGCAGTGATTGAAAAGAAAATATTTTTGTAATGCAGTGACTGAAAATTTATACGCAGTTAAATTATGTGAAATAATGAATTACTAATGAATTAATTGTGGCTGTTCTGATGATACCCACAATTTAGGCAAACTGTTCCTGTCCATAAATGTTAAGATGATCAGTAAGTAAATAAATAAATACATAAAGAGATTTAGGAAGACGCACTTTTTACATAATGCTAATGGACAGAGTTTGGTTTTGCTTCATGCTGCAAAGGCATCTAATTTTTTTTTTCAAATAGTAACTAATAAAATTGCTGTGGTTTCCAAAGTGAAATAAACATAGATGAATCATCACAAGCCACTACATGTAATACAATCCTTTTTCTACTGTCTTTCCCTTGTAATGCTAAATAAATAGATAAATAAAACAATGGAACTGCACGAAGTCCCAGTTCTAAAGACTCAAGTATATTTCTGAAACTGAAGCCTGTTTCTTCACAATAATTACATATTTGAACCTTAAAAAATATTGTTTTATAGGCATTAATTATGACTTAAGATACTGTTTACATTGCTTTTTCAGCTATCTCTGGTTTGATCAAAATATTTTTAAACTTAAAAAAAATTGAATAAACAACATGAAGAAAAAAACTTACATATTTCATAATCAATCATTATTTGATGGCAAGATTTATTTTTGCATAAAGTAATACATATCTTAATTGAATAAATAAATGAAAGAATAGGAGAGGATTGGTTATAATTTAGACACTGCCCTCCTATTGTTTTTACTTAATTCCTGGGTCAGGGAGACTGCACCTGCCTAGACTTATGTGGAAATTCCTTTCTCCTTTTAGTAAAATTCTGTGTCTGCTTTAAACAGATCACTTTTTTCATAAATTAATCCCCAAGGGCAAGTCCTTCCACTTGCAGAATTCTCTATCATAAGTTGAATTGTCAACTCAAGCTAGAAATTTCTTTCTTTCTTTCTTTCTTTCTTTCTTTCTTTCTTTCTTTCTTTCTTTCTTTCTTTCTTTTTGTTTGTTGTTAGGAAGATGATGAAAAGAAGAAGAAAAGAAAAGTACAAAAGACAAAAGAAAAAAGAATGAAGGAAAGGAGGGAGGGAGAGAGAGAGAGAGAGAGAGAGAGAGAGAGAGAGAGAGAGAGAGAGAGAGAGAGAGAGAGAGAGAGAGAGAGAGAGAGAGAGAGGGAGAGAGGGAGAGAGAGAAACCTAGCTAATATACTTGCTTAGTTGTCTGCATATTAACCCTGGACTATGGAGGGACATTAGAATGCCCTTATGATATTTTGCACAAAAGGCTCAGTGTTCATGGCTCCACGCAGAGAACCCAAAATAGCATTCAGTAAGCAGTGACATAGTGACAGTGCTGTGGTACTAAAAGCACAGCATTTGTAACTCAGAGCAATGTGGCACATGGAAAGTTTGCAGAGACTAGATGCCTGTGAAAGAAATTAAGGACATCTTCCCTCCTTTCCTGTGTCTTATTGGAAGTTTGGATTTCAGTTTCCAGGGAGGCCCTGCATTTGAATCTATAGAGGTAAGACTGTGATAATTGTGCATATTTTGAATTATTTTGATAATTTATTACTGATAATCAAGGTCAAAAATACTTGAAAAAATGTTGTTAGTTTGTACTTCATTAGGGAAAATTCTAAATTTTGAAATCACGTGTGTATTGAACTTTCTTTAGGACAAATTTCTATAAAAACAAGTCTTTATCATGACAGTGCAAACTGAGGGAAAAATGTAGCTCATATCTCACAACATAAAAAGCTTAAGTTTCTTGATGAATGTATAGCTACTGCACATTTTTCCTTCTCTGGGATTTTAATTTTTAATTTACTATGAATTTTTTTGTACCATCAGGTATTATGAATAATGAAGTTGTTGTCATCACTTAAATTAGAGAAAATATTAGTTTTGAAAAAATATTAATTTAAAATTTATTTTTTAAGCATAGGTTTTCAGAATAATATTTTCCACTTATTTAAAAATGAGCTATTATCAAAGTTAGCATGTATTGTTTTTATTCATCTTTGTCCATTTTTTGGTTTGTTTTGGTCCAATCATTCGATTTAATTCAATAATTTCTAAAGCCAAAATCTGTAATTCAAAATTCTGTAAATATTTCTAATTAAAATGAAATATTGAGTCTCATGAATACAAAATAATTCATAGCTATATGTTCATGTTTGCATATTGTTGTACATGCATGTGCACCATGTCAATTATATGTAGTGAAAGAATAATTCATCATACATGTGAAATACAAAATGAAAATTAAGAAAAGGCAAAAAGGTGAGTCATAAAACATGTTTTAATTCTGATACTTTTAATTGTATTACTAATTTTAATAAAATATTTCAAAGTAAATTTGCAAAAGGGATATAGTCAATCTAACCAAAATATTAATAAAATAAAATAAAATGTCCATCAAAATAAGAAAAATCCTTATAGAATGACAAATGTTTTCTTTATAGAAACTTTTACTTTAGCTCCATAAATTCTTCTACAAGGAAGACGATATTTAGCTAAAAATTCCTAGATTTTTTTATATTTTGGATATTTCTGTAATATAAAGTGAAATTATATGCTTTTATATAGTATTTATATTACAAAATTTAAATATTTCAAATATTTTGAGTTATAAATATGAATACTTATGAAAGCTGAATGCAAAATTGGGTTTTCAAAATAATGCAAACCTTTTGATTTATCAAATTTAATAGCTAAAAAGGTTTATAAAATAGTAAACACCTCAAAATTAAATGTCTATGATTATTTAAAAGACTAACAAATTTATGTAATTTAGAAATCACCTCACTTCCTGCTCTTTATAAGTGTGTCCTAGGTTGCCAAGGTTTTATAACAACTAATGAAATACATCACATTATATAAATTAAGTATGCATTTTATAGCCTCATATTTTAGTAATTTTTAAATTTTTGCCCTCATGAAACATTTTTATTTTTCTACTTATACATATACCCATTTAAATTCACAATTTGTACAGTGTTTAAGCATATGTGATCCATTTTTAATTTCTGTTTTGAATTATTTTCCATTTTGGAATATTTCTAAGTTACTTTTCCGTAGGATTTTAAAAAATTAATTTGATTAAATTATCTCAAACAAAACACATTTTAAGGTTGTTTTCATTTTGAAAGTTTTTAGCATAAAAGAGTGATGTTTTGTGAAATACAATTGTTAAAATTAATTTAAATTATAAAGTAAAAAAAAATTCATGTGCATCAATGTCTTTCATGTATTCTTTGGTAACCAGACCCTTCCTTAAGGAGTTTCTCATAATACAGCTACCTAAAAATTGATAAATCATAATCTATAAATAAACATATTCAGACTGTTTTGCAACTCATGATTTAATGTGTGCACTTTAAATTTGGTTGTTCTCATGTTGAAGAGTATTACTTGGCATGTAATTGAGTGTGAGTACAGTAGGAATAATGTACTCCCCTCTGTGAGAGGATTATTGTTCTTTTCATAGCTTTCTTTTTGTGAGCATTGGTTGCTACTGGCATGGTGTTAATGAATAAGGGAAAATGGAACATTTAAATCTATTTTTTCCATGATGATTTCCTTTAATATCCATGTCTTCGGACATACATGTATTTACTTTGATGCAACAGATTGAGATTGAAATATAAATGAGTGTGGAATCTACTAAGAATCACACAAGAATCTTTTCTATTAATGCTGAAGACAGCTCACAGGCTCAATGAATTGCCTTTTCCAAATTGACCAGAATGATATTTGACACCTGAGAAACAAAACAAAACAAAACACACCCTCTTAGTTTGTTACCCACTATCACCACCCCTCAGTTGAGGGAACTCAGATAAATGTTCTAGAACTTGTTTTCCAATGTTTATAATATATCAATTTCTTTTTCAAACAATTTTTCTCTGGAAGATTTTGGTATGATCCATTAGCATGTGTTTGTCTGGTTTCAATCAGTATCTGAGAATTAGTAAGACACATTTTTTTTCAGAATTGTTATGTCAATTACCTAACAATAACATTCAGAATCATCAAAGTTTGTCTTAAGATTAAATGAGAACCCCTGTTTTTCAGAAACCCTACTATAGTGTACCAAGTCAAATTTGAAGTTATTTTAGAGCAGATAAATATTGCTGATCAATACATCTCATTTTATCTGGTCTTCAGTCCTAAGCAGTTGCATGATAAATGGAATTTGTAAACTCTCATGACAGCATATTAAAATGAGAATAATTTTACACACAAGTCATACCTTAAATTAATGTAGGTAATTTTCTCTATGTGTAAAATTTAGAAATGTAATTCCTGTGGAAATGAGTAAAGTACATAAAACTCATAGAAATAGAAAATTCTACCATTTTTCTACCCATAAATTATATTATAGCTAAATTGTTCCAAAGAGTTTTGTATCTGTTTTATTATTAGAAATCTCTAGTAGAAAGCCAGTGACCTTCTTTGATAAATAGATAATTAATACTACCAAATATACAAACATCAAATGTAACTACACTAAAAAAAGATAAAGAGGAAAGTACATACAAACATCTGTGTTTGAATCTTGAAAAGAGTATTGTTATTTGTCACTAAGAAAATACTTCTTGCCAGTGCTTGAAATTTCTCTTCAACTGGTAAAGTAAAATATAACCCTTTCTCTATAATGTTTGATCAAAACGAAGTGTGCTACATTCTTATTTTTGAGTTAGATATACATGTATCTCTTTCTTTTAAATAGTACTTTTATCAATGAGGATTTGTAGGACATAGATTTCCCTTTCTATATTTTCCCTCTTCTAAGCAATGTCTTTAAAAGAAGTTAATTCTATTGGCATATCAGAATTTGACTTCCAATTTATGGTTAATAATAAATAAGCTTATATCTATACATATATATATCCATAATCCTATCTATATATTTGTCTAGAGATAGATGATTTCAAACTAATATGTATAGTCCTTTGATAATTTTATGACCATATAATTTTTGTACTGCTTTTTATAGGATATGATTTTATAGTTACTTTATAAAATTTACATTAGGCTATATTTAAATACATGAAGAAATGTTATCATTGTATGCATGTATGTATGGGTGTGTACACGTATATCTAACTAACTATGCATTTTAGGTCAATGCCTAAAACATGATTTTTAATCCAAAGTATAAATTTTATGAGATTATGTGGAATCTTAGTCTAATAATACTAATATTTTGATTTGTGAAAAAAAACAATACACTTTTAAGATTGTAAGTGTGGATGGTAAATATTGCAAAGCTCAGCAAGATATTCATTAGCTGCTTCTTACATATTGTATTAGGGTTGCTAGACTTAAAAGAATAAGATGAGGCCTTATTTTTATAGCATTCTTTCCCACAGAATATAAAAATTTTCTCCCTACCCATTGACAAATTAAAATGGGCTTATAAGCCACAAAATTCGAATTCAAGGAGAAAAGATGCATCCATATATTCTATGATCCATTCAGCCATTCCTCCAGATTGTACTGAATGCTTCCACACTGACTAAAAGAAACTTGTTTTTGTTTGTTTGTTGATTTTGTTTGTTTGTTTTTTTCTGTCTGGTATCCACTCCTAAGAATTCAAATCTTAAAGGAGACATCCTTCCTTTTTTTTTTTTTTTTGGTATCCTTTCTGTATCTCAAAATAACCACATTCAGGACTGTTTTGCTGTCTTAAACTGATTTGTTTTTTTAACCAATCCCAGTCCTTAAAAATATACTTGCCACAGTGTATAAAAAATAACTTCTGTTTTATTTCTTCCCACCATATTTTTTTATTTGAAATTTAAGTGATGTACCTAAATTTCCAAGTTTAGGAAGCACAGTGTAGGAAACTATTTTCTATTCATGCCATTCATGTTGAATGGTTTTAGCAACCTCCCTCATGGAATAGTTCCAATATCATATTTACTAAATTGCCTTATTTATCATACTTTATGCAAAATTAATACAAGATAATCATAAAATAATGTTCTCAAAATGTAAAGTTATTTTAACATTCTGCTTAATTAGCCAATATAATTTTAAATTTTATCTTCATAATAATTTTTATAACAAAAGTAAGCTCTTGAAAATGTGAACTCATGTAATTATTTTAGTTTAGTGTACAGAAAAAAAGTGGTGCATATATTTGCATTGTAAGGATTATTCAAAAGAGACTTAGAAAGCACTGAATTTTACATTATGTAATGTAAAGCTAAAATAAGTTTTATTTCAAGGAGGATTTTTTTTCAAAATATTTTAAACCCAAATAATATATTCTCTTCTCTTTTTAAAACATATTCTTTGAGATGTACATTCCATTTTAGGACCCAAGATTTTAATACAATATGATTCCCAAATGTTTATGATAAAAGATAATAATAGCAAATTGTGAATTCATTTTCCTCTATTTTGAAATTAATTTGAGCAAGCATGATTTTAATGTTTTTCATACTAATATAATAATTAACTTTGAATCTTCTGAATTTGTTCTTCACTTTCAAGTCATAGGGAAATAAA